CAGAAAAGGAGGCGGTGGCAGAAAAGGAGGCGGTGGCAGAAAAGGAGGAGGTGGCAGAAAAGGAGGAGGTGGAAAAGATACAGGAGATAGAGGCTGGGAAAGTGCAGGATGTGTAGGAGTGAGAGACGGTGGAGGTGGCGGTGGAGGCGTTGCAGTGGGAGCAAGCAAGCGCCATATTTGTTGTTGGGGTGCCCCTTCCCCTGCTACCTCTGCAGAGGCAACGTAACTGATATATTAGACCCCGAGACACAGAATTAATTTCAACGTCACCCGCTTCAAAACACGAGACAACTTCAGTGACCCAACGGAGATGCCTAAGATGTTCTTTTATTTGGTAATTCCATCCCCGTTTTGGTACTATTTGGTAATTCTTTTCTTTGTGAAACGGCAAATTGCGATAATCAAGAACTTTGTTTCCAAAGCTTCTTTTTCATTTAATTTAACTCAGCAATAATTTCGTTTCCAGAGCGAACACTGATTTGTTAAAAAAGAAAAAACGCTAATAAATGACATTGTCAGAAGATCGGGAATTTTAGGGGCGTTGTGAGTAAATATTTAGCAACTTGCTTCATATTACGTTTGTTTAATTATCTGAATCGGAGTCGTTTCGTTGAAATTATTATATTCAAAATATTATTGTACATTTGCATTGTATTAGATTGGGCAATGAGTTCATTTCTTTACTGACACGTATTGTTTTTTACTACCTTTGATATGGAGCCCGATAAACGCAGGATAACTTATCTGAATCGAGAGGATCTTTTTTACGAGAGAAGTAGTATGAAAACATTTGAAGGTCGCTATGTGTTCTCTTATGAATGGAGGATTATGAAAGGGTATTATCGGAGGGATATCGTTGTACAGATACTCAAAAGTGGTGATAAAATTAAAATGTCTAATAATTGAGCAGTATCAGTCACTTCACTAAGGCGTAAATTAATAGGACAGTTAATACCACAACACACACGATGAAAATGGAAAAACTCATTTGATTTCAAGGCGTTTCCTCTTTCGAGAGTTATATGACGCAGTTGACGTAAGCAAAAGGGTAAATGATGTAAAAATTGATTTCACCATATCATTCCAAGTCGTTTCCCATAAACCACATATTGAGAAACGTTTAATATCGTTAATAGTTACTCGTGTGGTGCCATGGACTTAAAAGTTCCTCCGCACCAGGAAAGGTATAAAGTTCCCCCTTTGGAGCTAACCTGCACGCCGGGGAAAGACCCCGAGGAAGGAAAGCGGGCCTGGGGTCGAAGCCCGAGCAAGTCTACTGTTTGCCTACGCGTGGGCGAGGCCCCAGCGGCATTCGCCTGGAGATTATTCAAGCCGCAAACGTGCAACTTTATAAAGTCGGCATCTGCACCATGGGGTCCGACATGCTAAGTTCCCTCGCGCCTTCCCTTTCGAGCTAACCTGCCCGCGGGGGAGAGGCCTCGAAGGGGAAAGCGGGAAGTTAAGGCGAGATACAAATAAAGCAAGGAAACGA